CTTCCTCTTGTGAGCTTTGCTCTTTCGGGCGTGGGTCAGAGTTCTTTTTCGAGAGGCGATCCTTCGTCAAGCCGTGGAGACTTGGCGGGCGGAGGCAAGGCCACTGGCATCAGCACTGGTGTGAATTTGCGTGTGTTTCTGATCTCCGGAATGCTGCAGGTTCACGGCGCCAGCCTCGTGAACAAGACAGATGTAGAGAAGGCTGTTCGCACGTGCTTGGCACGTGTCGTTGCCTGGACGTCGACGCAGGAACAACGCATGGTGGCCACTTGGAAGGAGACCGCTCGGCAGCTGGTGTTGGAAGTCCACAAAGTGGATGCGAACAGCTTCCAAGCACTGGAAGATACGTTGTCCGCACGCAGGGCCATCGTGCATGATCTTCTGACACGCCAGCGGCGCGAACTGACAAATGCATACCGACAAATGCAGGATAACCTAACCCACAAGACACGGGAGATGCTGCAGTCAGACCGTGAAGTTCAGCGGAAGAGGGACAGCAAGGCAGACCGCAGGCTCATACTAAAGGAAGCCCAACAAGCAGCCAGAAGTAGAGCGGAGGTTGCCAAGGCAGAGTCTCTCAAGGCCTTGGATGCCCACACACAGCTATGCTGCTCAAAAGTGGATCGCTGGGCTTCTCTGTTCCTGTTGAAGAAGTCGCTCCTTCAGGAAGTAATTGGGGAAATTGGTCCTATGCTGGCCGCAAACCTCGATGACGAGCTGCGAACTACAGTGGCTCAGATTCGGCAGCGGCAGAACCAAAGAGTCGGCGATGCCGAAGACCCACCTCAGCGAGGCCATCGCACCATGCGCGGATGCTCGCCTTGACCCTGTCACCTCTGTGGCAGGAGTGGCCTCAGAAGATCAGTGCGGGCCTCAGTTTCTGTTGATTTCTGCTGCAAGCCGCAAGGGCTTGCAGCAGGTTGGAAGACGGAGAACGGCCAACTGATGCAGCCAGCCCTGAAGAAAGTGCGGAGCTGGAAGCTATGCGACGCAGTCGCACCCCGGCCTTGTCAAGAGACTCTGTCATCAATTCTCGGCTAGTTCTCT